GCCATGCCTCCCAATAGTGCCTGCCACTCCCTTTGGGGGCCATTTCCTTTCACCCATCATACCCTTATAGCCTTTTCCTTATTTCAACCTTTCTCCTCATTATTTCTTCTTTCCCCTTCATATTACATGTGTTCTACAATCCCACTCCTTTAAGAACTTTCTTCCCACTTCCACCAGTGGTCCCTTTCTAGCTTCCTGGTTTCTACACAAACTCCTGATTAAACACAAGAATTTAATGATTCTAAACCTAAGATCTACATAGGAGAGATAACGTGATATTTGTCTTTCTGGGTCTGAGTTACTTCACTCAGTATATTTTCTGGCTCTATCCATTTAAATGAAATTTCCATTTTTCTTTGTAGGTGAATAAAATTCCATTGTATATAGATACTATATTTCATTACATATTTAACAGTTGATGGACATTTAGACAGCTTTCCATGTCCTAGATTGTCAATGGAGTAGCTATGAACTTGGCTGAATATGTGTATCTGTCGTAGGAAGTATAATGTTTTGAGTATATACCTATCTTTGTTAATGTTCTATTGCTGTGAGGAGGCACTATGACCAAGGTAACTTTTAAAAGAAAGTATTTTATTGTGGGCTTGCCTACAATTTCAGAGAGTTAAGTTAGTTCATGATTGTCATGGTGGGGATGTGGTCAGGCAGCTGGCATTACCCTGAAGTGGTAGCTGAGAGCACATGTCTGATCCTTAAGTTGTGGGGGGGGGGTTTGAGGGGTGAGGTGGGGAGGGGAAAGGGAATTGAAAGAGAGAGACTCACTGATTGAGACTGGGCCTGGAGTGGGCTTTTGAAACTTTATAACCTACCCCCAGTGATTCACCTCCTCAAGCAAGGCCATACCTCTAATCCTTCCCAAACAGTTGCTTAACTAATGGGACCAATAAACCTTTAGAGGCCATTCTCATTCCAACCACCACAATGCCCATGAATGATACAGTTGGGCCATATGGCACATCTGTTTCCAGGGTTTTGAGGAACTTCCACACTGATTTCCATAGTGGCTGTACCCGTTTGCAGTTCTCGAGGAGTCCCTGTACCGCACTTCCTCAACAGAAAATTTCAACCTACATTTTCTTTTTTATTTTGTTTTTTTGTTTTTGTTTTTTTTTCTTTGTTTCTCTGTGTAACAGTCCCAGTTATCCTGGAACTCACTCTGTAGATCAGGCTGGCCTCAAACTCACAGAGATTGGCCTGCCTCTGCCTCCCAAGTACTGGGATTAAAGGTGTGTGCCTCTATTGCCAGGCTAGATTTTCATTTTTTTAATCTTAGCCATTCTGACTGGGATAGGATAAAATCTCAAAGTAGTTTTAATTTGCATTTCCCTGATGGGTAAGGGTGGTGGATGCTTTTAAAAATATTTCTTGGCCCCATGTTTTTCTTCTGAAAACTCTCAGTTCAGTAGTGCCCTTTTAAACTGAGTTGTTTGTTTTCTTCTTGTTTAGGGTTTATTTATTTAGTTCTTGTACATTCTTAGTAGTCCTCTGTCAGATGTGCAGATAGCAAAGGCTTTTTCTTGTTCCTTATAAACTAATTCAGTTTCCTGTGCAGGAAGAAGCTTTTAATTTCACTAAGTCCCATCGTTAATTGTTCTTATTTCCTGGATTGCTGGAGTACTATTTGCAAAGTCCTTATATGAACCTGTATCCTGATGTGTACTCCCTATTCTCATAGACCTTCAGATCTAACAGTTGATCCATTGGGAGTAGATTTGTGTGCTGGATGAGAAAGAAGCATCTGGTTTCATTCTTTGTGTGTAGATACCCATTTCCCCAACACCATTTGTTAAAGACAGAGTCTTAGCCAGGCGGTGGTGGCGCATGCCTTTATTCCCAGCAGTTGGGAGGCAGAGGTGGATCTCTGTGAGTTTGAGACCAGTCTGGTCTACAGAGCTGTTTCCAGGACAGGCTCCAAAGCTGCAGAGAAACCCTGTCTCTAAACAACAACCACCACCAAAACAACCTCCCCCCCAAAGACACAGTCTTTCTTCACTGTGTATTTTTAGTATCTTTGTCAAAAATCAGATGCCTGTGGGTACAGGGACTTATATCAGGTTTTCAGTTCTGTTCTGAGCAGTGTTTCTGCTTTTGTGCCAGTGCCATGCAGTTTTTAGTACGGTGTCTCTACAGTATAACTTGAGATCAGGAGGTACCACCAGATTTATTTTTCTTGTTCAAGATTGTTTTTGCTATTCAGGATATCTTGTGCGTCTGTATGAATTTTAAGGTTGGTTTTTCAGTTTTGTGAAGAATTGCATTGGCCCAGTGCCACTTGTATGATAGGCCTCAGTACTGGAGTGAACTCTTTAGGCTTCGTAACATTATTGTGTTCTCAGGCCTGATGTTTGCTCATGTGTCTCTTTATCTTAGACATTTTTTCCTTGATGTATTTATAGGTCTGTAATAGAAAAGGCATGCTCTTGGACATATGCGAGCTTTGTTAATGGGTGGAGACATGGAGAGGGGAAGAGGAGGGGCCAGTATGATTTGTAATCACATAGTATACTAAGAGGGTCAGTGCCAAAGCTAGGGTGTGTGTTTGGCACTAGAGGAGTTGGCAGGAAAGGTTCTGACATTGAAATTTCCAGTGTTGACATAAACAACAAAGGAGATAATCTTTAGGATGCACAGGCAAGGCTAACCCATCAGTGGGGAGTATTTAAGTCAGTCTGGTAGAAGTCAAGGACAAGGACATCACACAGTACTGATACAGGGTTATCATATGATACACTGGGTCTCCTCAGAGTCTAGGTAAGAATGGCATCCTGGAAGGATTGGAAGGGAGAGGGAATGGAGGTTGTCTGTTAGGGTTTGAGACATTTGTTCATAAGGTTCTTTAATATTTTATTATTTTTGAAATAAAGTTAGCATGGAACTTCTATTTATTTGGAAGTTTAAAAATACCTCGGCTCAGTGGTGAATGATTGTCCCATATGTGTGAGCATGAAGCCTTAGGTCAGCCTTTTAGTCGAACTGTAATAAATAATCATTAAACATTAAACACAATTTTATTTATTTTGTGTAGAAAAATTACACAATATATTTTGATGTTTTCCCTTTCTACCAGTTCCTTCCAGATCCTTTCCATCTCCTTACCTACCCAACTTATGTTTGTTCTCTGTGTCTTTCAAAAAACAACAACAATAACAACAACAGCAACAACAAAAATCCCCACAAGAAACAAAATAAAACAAAAAACCAAGAAGCAAAAATTCTCCATGAAAACACAAAAATGAATTGGGTGATAGTGGTGCATGCCTTTAGTCCCAGCACTCACAGAAGCAGAGGCAGATGGAGCTCTGTGAGGCCAGCCTGGTCTACCGAGTGAGCTGCAGGACAGCCAAGGCTATATAGAGAAACCTTGTCTTGAAAAACAAGCCAAAAAACCAAAACCAAAACCAAAAACCCACAAAAATGAAAATCAAAGCAAAAAAAAAAAAAAAAAAAAAAAAAAAGTCCAACAAGGAAAAATGAAACTAAAAGTCCATACATGAAAATACTATGATTTTGTTTTGTGTTAGCCAGCTACTCCTGAGCATGGGGCCTTCCCTGAAGTGTGGTTCATATTTCCATTGAGACTTCGTTGGAGAAAACTGATTTTCTTTTTGCCAGAGGTTATTAATTGCAGGTAGTTTCTTGGTTATGGGTGGAGCCAAAGTTAAAATCAGTTTTTTGATACAGAATCTTACTTCATACCTCAGGCTGTTCTTGAACTTACTGTGTGTCCTAGACTGGCCTTGGACTATATTTTTAGGGACTCTGAATCCTCCTGCTTCAGGCTTCTGAGTGCTGGGATTGCAGGCAGGGGCAACCATGCTCACCTTGTCTTTGGATTCCTCCTTTCTTGGAATGCTGCTTGTTACTAGAGCTGATGTGTTCCAATATGAGCCTGATTCCTTTTGGTTTCGTAGTCTTCCTTGCCATATACACATGAGCTGACACATCTGAGTAAGTAATTAAAGCCTGTACAGGACCATGGCACTGTGGAAGGGTAGTAGGTAAAAGCCACATTATCCCTAATGTCAGAACACTAGGCTGGTGTATTTCTTCTCTGTGTCCCATGTTCAGGACTGTGGAAATGCGATGTCAGGGTTCCTTGTACCTGTTCCTGCAGTGCAGGCAAAGATCAGCCAAATCGAGATGTGTCTGAGTCTTTGTCAGTATGAAATGGAGGAATGCCAGATTACTGAGAAAACAGGTACACTTACAAGTTTGTTGTTAGAAGTTAGAGACACAAAACAGGGATGTAAATCTTTGAACTTATTCACAGAAACAATCATTTGGTGACTTTTTTAGGAGTAAGAAAGTTTCAACTTAGCTTTGTTTAGCAGTTTCCCAGTCTGATCTTTCAGTCTGACTTTTTGAGATCAGAATCTGTTTTACTTTAAAAATATGTGTGATGATTCCTTATTTTAGTCAAGCCTCATAAACTAGTAGGTCTCCCCATAAACTAGTGTATTTGTGTATGAATAATGAATGGAATACAGTTGCTGTCCAGCAAGCAGTTCGCTAGCTGGTCACTAGAGGACCCCAGAGGCTGCAAGGTGCTGCTGGGGGCCCTTCCTGTTCTGGTGGTGGATGTTGGTGCCCTAGCCCGGTGTCTCCAGTGATTCAGACAGTCTGGCATTCCTTGATTAGAACCACAGATGAAAATCCACAAATGTTCTTTCTTCTGGTAAGTTAAAAATGTTTCTGCAAAATGCTGGTATGGTTGATTCTTTCTTTTTATACTTTATTCCAAGTTTATTATTTTTTAAAACACAATTTTGAAAAGTCACTCTAAACATAAAGAACAAACACTCAGTGCTTTCTTTAATTAATATAGATTTATATGAAAAACATAATATAAATTTATTAAGTAAAATTATATATTTTTCTTTCCTCCCAAAGGATGGTTTTATTCTTTCAAATAAAAGACTACCTACTCATGAGGTGATATAAAGTACTAAAATGCTGTTGCTGTTGTGTTGTGTTTTCAGGGAATCCGAGCCCGAGTTTTGGAAACTCTGGTCATGTTGCTGCTTCTTGCATTGCTGATTCTTGGAATGGTGTGGGTAGCTTCTGCCCTGATTGACAGTGATGCTGCCAGCATGGAGTCTTTATATGGTACATGATTATGTTTTAGCCAGTTCCTATGATGGGCATCTCAGTTTGGGATACAATTATATAGATTTAAAAACTTTTAAATAATTCCTTGTGTGCTTAGCTCTGTAATTTACAACATTTAGATGTCTTTAGTGATATTTATGCAAAACAGTGAATATTCATTGTTTCAGAAGTCTACGTAGTTTTCCATGTATTTTTGATTAATGGATTCTTGTTCTTAAAATTCCATGGAGTGTTTTCTCCCTCTGAAACAGATTTTTTTCAAAAGGGTCCTTTCCTTTCCTTTCCTTTTTTTTTCTGAGACAGGGTTTCACTGTGTAGCCCTGGCTGTCCCTAAACTCACTCTGTAGACCAGGTTGGACTTGAACTCACAGAGATCCCCCTGTTTTTGCCTCCAGAGTGCTGGGATTAAAGGTGTGTGCTCAAAAGGGTTATTTCTTATTCTCTTACTTTAGATCTTTTTAGTCTTAATTAGAAGTTAGATGGTTTATATACTCAGGTAGGCAGTTAAAATGTTTATCTCATATTGCTATTTATTAAGATAAAATGTAGACTATTTTAATTGTCACACTTTGACTTATTAAAATTAAAATGCATTGATAATTTCACAGATCTCTGGGAGTTCTACTTGCCGTATTTATACTCCTGCATTTCACTGATGGGATGCTTGCTACTTCTCTGTAAGTACTTTTCATTGTGACACTGGCAGGAAAAGTGGAGCCATCTTGTACCCTGGAAAACTTTGGCAGTTTTCCTGATGAGATTCCTTAACAATGGACATTGTCAGTTGAGTTATCCCTAACTTTTTTTTATATTTCAGATAAATTTTAATAAGCAGAACCTAGATATAATTGGGTGCTTTTGTTCACTAAGGAAAGCCTTTTCTGCTCTGTTGGACACACGGACACACACACACACACACACACACACACAGAAACTAACGTGTTCCCCATGTACCCCATCCCCCTACATCATGTGCATATTCTTTACATCTACCTCTAGCCCAAGTATAACACTGAATTTACTTTAAATGGAGAGAGTAAAATTTTTTTCTGATGACTTTGTAGTCTTTATTTCAAAATTTGTTTGGTTTTACTGAAGACATCATACTCTAGCTCAGGAATAATATAAAATGTCAAATATAGTTCAAAGGACTTGTGACTACAGTTGTCACTTTTAGATAGTCTTTTTTGGCTCTCGGTTCTAGCAGATGAAATAGTGTGTGTGTGTGTGTGTGTGTGTGTGTGTGTGTGTGTGTGTGTGTGCATTTCTGGGTCTATTAATTCGTTTTAAGCAAGAGTGTTGGTCCTTTATAATCTTGACTATTGTAGCCTTCTTTCATTTACACATTTCATGTGATATGCATGGCCTCCTCACACTGCCCTAGTTTATTGGTGGAGTTGAAGGACCTTCTGACAGAGTACCTGGTGAAGCTAAGTTGGAGATGGGATGTACCTAAAAGGCTCTTTAGGCTTGTTTTTCTGTTTTCTCACTAATGGCTTTATTTCTGCAGTATGCACCCCAGTTGGCCTTTCCCGTATGTTCACAGTGATGGGTCAGTTGTTGGTGAAGCCAGCAGTAAGTATTTTATTTTATTTGGATTTGCTAAATACTTGTGTTTACATATTTGATTATGTAATAAAGATTAAAAATTCTTTTTAGGTTTATCATTCATGTTTTTAAGTTTTTAAAATCACCTTTTTAGGGAACAAAAATCTGTTTTTGCATTTCAAAGTACTAACTATATGCACTTTCAGTTTGTATAGAAAATTTCAAGACAAACTTTCCAAGTGTCTGTATTTTGTGTTTTCATTGCTGTGAATCCAACAGTAATTTTATCTGTTTCAAAACTGATCACACAGCTGACCATGGTGTTAATGTCCCTGATTCTGGGGTATGAGAGGCTTGGGGATTGTGAGCTCAAGACTAGTTGGGCCACAGAGTGAGAACTGTCTACAGATGAAACAAATAAATCAATCAGAGCCCCCAAACAAACACAAAACAGAGACAAAAAGAAAATTTACTGTATCAATGCTGTATTTTTATAAACTGGTTTCTGAGAATATGCACATTGTATCTTGAATTATACTTTTACTCCCAGAAATGTTATATATTTATTCTAAAATGACTTTGAGTGGGTAGCAATATCATGATCTGTTCCTCGTTCTCCGATCTTTGAACTATTTTTGCAGATAATAACTACTTAGCTAGTCCTGGAAAATCTGGTGTTTGTTTCATCCCTTGTTCCCCATTGCCTGCAAACTCAAGTCTCAGCTGTCTACATATTTAGGGTTTTCCCAGTGTTCTGTGCTGCGCCCCTCTTCTGCTCCTGCGCAGACTCTCAAGCAGGTTGAAGCTGCCCGTTGTGGTCCACAGGGCTCCATGCTGTCGGATCTGGGCTTGCTTGTCTGTGGAGTGCTGCTCACCTGCCACAGCCCTCAGCAGTCTCCTGGCGGGAAGTTCAGACAGCACTGTGGTCACAATTGTAACCACTGTACTGCCTTCTCCACACGTACCAGTGTCTGCGGCTTGTGTCTAACCTGGGATATCTGCCGAGCCACTTTGGCCATGGGTCTGTCTCCCCTTGTGGTGATTTCATTAAGGAAACACATTGAGGCAAATATTATGGTAGACGATCTTTCAGTAAACTCTTATTTTGAAAATTACATTCTCTCATTCAGTTCTCTCTAAAAGAGGCTTTGGGATACAGAATTCATCTAGTTTCTTCTGTTTTTATTTTGTTGTTTTGTTTTCTACTTCCTGTAGACAGGTGTTCAATTTCCACTCTTCCTCTAAAGTTTTGTTACTGCTCTGCCCTGTGCTCTAGACCTTGTCTGGGTTTGAGCCTTATCTGCACATGGTAATGAGAAGACAAGGAAGCCACTTACAGTGTGAAGCAGTGTTGACTAACGCAGAGCTGCCCACTCCACCTCCTCCTTTATAAACCAAAGGACTTCTGTGCACTGCTCTCTCTCTATGCTGCCTGTTAACACCGTCACAGCCGTATTGTTTTATTTCCTTCCTTGTTCCTAATATCCAGTGACTGCGGCTAGTTACTGAGTAAAGCATTTGTCCCATGCTGTGTACTAGGTACTAGGTATGTGACACACGATTTCATGCCATCTCAATGACAGACTATAACTTGGGTGTTGTTGGTATCATTTTGTAGGTAAATTGGCTTCAGTCCGGGGAGGCTGAGTAGTTAGTCACAGAGCAGTGTAAAGACAAGTTTGAACCCGGAGCCCAGTCTCCAGACCACTGTTGTCTTTTCCTCTAAGAACTCCAGAGTAGTGATTTCCTCCTGAACTTGCCTTCTCTCCACCTCTGTGTTTACACATGGCTTTCTCTACCTGAAGTGCCTGTTCCCTTCTTAGTATTCAGGCTGTCAATCAGGTCAGGTATTCTAGCCATTAGAAACACTGTCGAGTGTTCTTTCTCTTCAAGTGGAAGTACTTTTTCTCTTTGACCTTTGCTAACATTTTATTTATGCCTCTGTTTTGACATTTATTTTAATCGCAAAGTTACTGTTTGAAATTCTTATCTTCATTGCTGTCCCCATGGGGGTGCTCATGTCTGAGTTCCTGTTAGTTCACAGTAGTGATGAGTCAAGGCCCTGAAAGGCCTTGGAAGGCCTTGGAAGATGCTCAGAGGTACATGATATACATCTCTGTGCTTCTCCTGGTGCCATTCAGCTGTGGTCTGAATTATCAATAATTTAGACTGTAAAATGAAAATCTTAAAGTATTAGGACTTAGGACAGATAAATGTGATCAATTTAAATTCAAACAGCCGAAAGTGTTGGGTAACCCTGACTGAGAGGAGAGTTCTTGTTTTTGCCCCCTCATTGAGTAACAGTCTTGGTTACTCTCCTGATGGTTATCCAGTGGACCTATCATGGACCACTCCTGCTCAGGACTTCATGCTTTCTAGCATGTGCTGCTTCTCAGTCTCGCTAAGATCTCTGGAGAGGTCTCCTTCCCCTTTCTCCTCCTATGTGATGGCCAGTCTGTGTCATTATCTATTATCTACTTTTTCAACTTTTTAAATTTATTCTTAGTGTCTTTCACATCATGTATCTCATTCTCATTTTCTACCCCTGTGTACCCACCCTCTCTCCTTGCAGCAACCCCCTCCCCCCCCCCCCGAGAAAAAAGGGAAAAAACTCTCATCATGGAAGCTGTAGTGTGACATAGTGAGTCACGAAGTAACCCCTTTGTCCACATATCTATACTTGCAAGTGCTCATTGCGAAGAGTCTGGTCATGTCCCTTGCTCATGGCTGCAAAGGATGAACTTGCCAAGGCAGTGCTGTAAAGCTTACTCTGGTGGCGAGGACAAGAGAGAGCTGGTGGGCTAACCAATCCTGCAACTGCCCAGGCCCAGAACCAAGGTTATGGGTTGGCCCACCCCAATATCCACCCCATCTGTGATCTGCTGGAACATGTGAAGGGACCAGTCCTGCAGAGCCAAATCTACCTTTTCTTATTTATTTTTGTTGTTATTGTTTTATTACTCCCAGGGTGGATTTGGTGCTACATCTTTTCAATGATAGCTTAGTGCCAGGCTGAAGGGAACCGTAGATACTTGTGAAAGGACTGGAAAACAGTGGCTTGCTTTACGAACGGTTTTAAATGGTGACCTCATGATTTTAGAGCAACTTGTCAGGTACACAGAAAACAGTTATTCCCATCCTTACTTTACTCTATCAACTCTTCCTTTTTTTTGCTTTCCTGGAATTAGTAGCTTGGGCTTGAGTGATGGAATGTACTACCACCAACTCTGCTGCTTTCATGCCTTCTCCAGAGCCAGGAAGACAGAAACTTCTCATAGGACAGTTATGTTAACAAAACCAGAATTGAAGTTTTAGGTTTTATTAGTTTTTAAGACAGTAAAGACACTATCCCACACAGTTGGTGATTGATGAGTTCACCCCCCCACACACACACCTCCACTGCTCCTCTAAGGCTTTGTCTCAAATGGATTTTATGATCTTAGCTTCTAATACTCATGGAAGAACTTGATGTTTAAAGGTAAAATATGGGATGTCCTGTGTGTCTCTGATAAGTTTATGTGTTTTTTGTTTTGTTTTATTTTTAATACTGAGACAGGGTCTCATTGTATAATTCTGGCTAGCCTGGAACTTGCTGTATAGATGAAGCTAGTCTATATATGGTTGTAAGCTAGCTTGTGGCTGGTGGGAATTCAACCCAGGTCCTCTAGAAGAGCAGCCAGTGCTCATAACAACTAAACATCTCTCCAGCTCCTGCTTACAGGTTTCTAACTTTAGCTAATAGGTAAAAACACATAGGAGACAAATACTGTACTAGATTATCTCTTCCTTCTAGCTCTAAAATAACAGCTTGTGCATAAAGATGCATTTGTTGTGCCTCATTCTCTATTTAAAATCCATGCCATTGTTAGCCCCTAAGAATACTTTATATAAAGTGTAATTTTTTAAGCCTTAAGATATCTAATTTAGATGCATGTAGATTTTGTTATATCAACTTTTGAAGTGTTTGGTTAGTACTAAAATAGAAAAAAACATAAATGTATTAAATATAAAGTATGTAAAATATACTTAGTTTGGATATTTAATTTTGGAGTCCTAGTTATTTGAGTCAATATAATACATGGTCTTAAAACAATTGAGGGTGTGACACTGCATTATTGAGTAGTTTATCTTTCAATTTAGATTCTGGAAGACTTGGATGAACAAATTTATATGATTACCCTAGAAGAAGAAGCACTCCAAAGAAGACTACATGGTATGTATGTAACATGGTTAGATCAGGCAGGAAAACTAATTCAGCAGAGACAGACAATTGAACAGTGGAAATATATACCTTCTCAGAGGCTTACAAGTGACAAAGGAGCTTCCTGACAAAGGAAGATGGGCAGGGCCACATGGCTGGCTCTCCTGTAGGCAGTGGCCACTTGGACATCTGCACTTACAAGGTGCTGCACTGCCAGTCTGCACACAGCTTTGGTGACTTGGGCCTGCTCTTTTCCTTTCTGTTGAGAGTTGAAGGTGAGAGTAGCTTTTCTTAGGAGAGCCTTAGGAGCACTCTTAATTCGGGTGACTTTTATACCAGCCTTGGGTTAGTCCAGTACCATTGATTGGAATTGCTCTGGCTGGCAAGCTGCCTTTAAAATGATTTTAGGGAAGCACCTTAATAATGTATTGCTGTGATTGGTCACTGTAGGCTATTTCAGGTAGAAACTAATAGACTGAATTGTTTATTATATAAATGATTCTAGGGCCAAGTTGATATTTGACTCTATTAAGAATTGTACGCTTCTGTGGCTTATTGGTTAATGTCTACAGAGAGAAAAAATCAAGAAGAAAAGGACATTTCATAATTTGCTGTTTTAAACTTAAAAAAGTATATATATATATTTATATATATACACACACACAATCATAAATACATACATACATACATACATACATACATACGGGTGTTTTGCCTGCATGTATTGGATGACACAAGAAGGCATTGGATCTTTTGGAACTAGTGTTACGGAGCTGTCATTTGGGTGCTGAGAATAAACCTGGCTCCTTTGGAAGAGCATGCAGTGCTCTTAACCACTGAGCCATCTCTACAGCCCCAATGATTTGCTGCTTTTAGGAAAGAGCAGAAGTAGATCCTTAGTAAGTCATCCTCATGGATTTCATTAAATATGACATAATGTTAAGTGCATTTTATTGTAGCCATTATTTTATATTTTAAATTACAAAGCAAAATATGTCTTACCTTTGCGCTGGGAAAAATTACAGAATAGTAAGAGATTCAAACTCTAAAAATGCACTCATGATGCTGCTTTGTGGAACTGATGGTGGCATTTTACTAGTAGTTCATCAGTGTGTGGGCTGTGGGGTATGATTACAGACAGCTTTGGGATATGTGTTCTCTTCAGTGCATTCTTATAGTAAGTGCCCTGGAGAGACTCTACACTTGGCTGGTGGTAAGAAGGACTTTGCTGTAAGGCTAACACTTGTTTTATCTTGAAGGTAGCATGGTGTGTTATGGTGAGCACTCTGTAGTGGCATGGAGTTTCCATGTCCCTTTGAATGTATTAGTATAGCTGAAACATGGGATGCCTGGCTGTGGCTTCTCCAGTGTTTTCTGACACTTGACAGTGTGGGTGTATAAACTGTTGAGTGCTTTTGTTCTTTTTCATAAGCCATGTCAATGAAGTGAAGCCCTACGTGTTCACAGTATCAGTGCCCAGAGGAAGCCACTCTGTCTTGAGCTGTTCCCTTTCTCTTCCTGGTTTTGGATCAGATGTGCAGATGAATTAAGACTGTCTCAAGATGATAGACTAGTTGATTGATGGAGAATAAATAAAAAATAGAAATGAATAAGGATTTAGTGCCCAAACACATAGAGAGTAAGAGGGATACACCGAATTCTACATATGTGCTTGAGGTAGCCACTGCCTGATGCTCCCTCTTAATTAGCAGGAGTAGAGGTTCAGCTTCTGAATTCCTTGTGATCCTTTCAGAACTCTATTCTGTTCCTCATGTAGTCTCCCTTGATGCTGCCTGGGGACTCAAGGCAAAGAATGTACTTAGCTCTTAGTCTCTGTGATAGGTGACAGTAGATGATTCTGGTGTCTGGACCGTGCATCACTATCTTATTTCTGACTGACTTTCCCTGTTACCCAGCTCCTGTAACTTTTGCATGTGCTGCTAATATCTGAAGATTAATCTACATTCTCACCCCTCCTCTTTCTGCTCTTCCATCACCCTTGTGCTGTGACTTCCTACAGCTTGCCTTCACTCTGGCATTGTGCAGTTCTGTTGTGTTCTTCCCCACATGTTATCCTTTTCCCCTGGGACTCGCTAGACATCCTGCTCTCTCTTCCTCTTCAACACTTTGATCTCTTGTGGTCCTGCCATCTCTGCTACCATCTCATGTTCTAGTAGCTCCTTGTTCCTCAAAACTCTTTTCTGATGGCACTCTCTGATCTTGATTTGTCTGTGCTTGTTATGGCCTTTCCAGCCTTTTGGGAAGTTTCTTGACCCTCCTTTTTTTTTTGGTGCGCTATCTGCCTGTAACACCTTGGCATTGCCCTCCAAGTAATCCAATGCCCTCACATTTCATACTTAGGCATCTCTACTCCAAGCTGGCTCTCCTATTTCTTCAGGTCTTTTCTGTCATCCCCCATTTCCCACAGTCCTTCAATAGAGACTCAGCATGCTACTCTCTCAGTAGCCTTCATCCCATCCCCCTCATACCCCAGCTTCCGTGCCCAGGCTATATTGCCCGGCCAGGGTTAGAAGTGGAGCCTGCCTGTGTGCTTCCTTAGGCCCTTGCCTGTGTTTTAGGGCTGTACTGTGTCTGGCGAAGCTCAACCCTGTTACCTCCTGCTCTTTTTAATTTTTGTGCTTACTCCTTGTTATGCTGCCTGCTTTTTCTTCCAACGTGTGACCATTTCTTAAGTTTACTTTAGAGTCTTTAGGTGACTTTTCTTTTAAATTAATTCTTTTATTTTTTTGAGATTGTAATATCGTTATATCACCCTACCCTTCCCTTTCCAAACTCCAGACCCTCCTATACACCCATCCTTGCTCTCTTTTAAACTCATGGCTATTTTTCCCATTGATTGCTGTTATGTACATGTATGCGAGCGTGTGTGTGTGTGTGTGTGTGTGTGTGTGTGTGTGTGTGTGTACACACACACACACGCATACATGTACATATATTCATAAATACAACCTATTCAGTCTGTATAATTTATTTGTATGTTTGTCTCAGGGCTAACCGTTTGGTGTTGGCTAACCACTTGGCATGCTCATCTCTGGGAAAGACTGTTTCTCTCACTCTCAGCATTACTTAGTTGCCTGTAGTTCTTTGTGTAGGGTTGAGGCCTACAGAGTAATAAGGAAAGAGAAGGAAATTAAAGGGATACAAATAGTAAAAGGAGAAGTCAAATTATCCCTGCTTGCAGATGACATGATAGTACACATTAGAGATCCCAGAAATTGTATCAGAAAATTTCTAGAAGCAATAATAAAGTCAGCAGTGTGGCAAGATACAAAAATCAGCTTGCACAAATCAACAGCTTTTCTGTACACCACCCACAAACATACTCTGTCTTACTCATTGTTCTATTGCTGTGAAGAGACACCATGACCAAGGTAACTCTTAGAAGAGGAAACCTTTAATCGGGGTTTGCTTTTGGTTTCAGAGGGTTAATGTTATCATCAAGGTGAGAAGCATGGTGTTGTGCAGGCAGTAGCTGGAGCAGTAGCTGAGAACTGCATCCATAGGCGGCAGAGGGGGTTGGTGGGGGAGGAGGGAGGCGGGAACATGTGCCAAGTGCACATGGATGCTTGGGCCTGGTGTCGGCTTGTGAAACCTCAAAATCTACCCCTAGTGACACACTTCTTCCAACAAGGCCCCATCTCCTAATCCTTCTAATCCTTTCAAACAGTTCCACTCCTTGATGATTAAGCATTCAAATATATAAACCTATGGGGATCATTTAAAAAAAATATTTATTTTTTTATTTTTAAAGCAATCTCTCCCTCCCATTCCCCCATCCCCTCTACCATCTCCCCATCCTACCTTTCCAAGAGCCTTCCTATGGGGAATCATTAAAGTCTCTCACATCATTTGGAGCAGGACTGAGGCCCTCTCCCACCTGTATCTAGGCTGAGCAAGGCATCCCTTCATAGGGAATGGACTCTAAAATGTCAATTCATGCACTAGGGATAAATACTGGTTCCACTGGGAGTGTCTCCATAGACTTCCCAAGCCCCCCAAACTGACACTCCAGACAGCTGTCTGTCTGGAGTTAGTGAACTCCCACTTGCTCGGGTCAGATGTTTCTGTGGGTTTCTCCAACATGGTTTACTCATCATTCCACCCTCTCTACAGCTGGACTTAGGGGTTTGACCCAGTGCTTAGCTGTGGATCTCTGCTTCTGATTCCATTGGCTACTGGATGAAGGCTCTATGATGGCGTTTAAGGTAGTCATCAATCTCATTATAGGGGAAAAGCATTTAAGGTGGCCTCTCCACTATTGCTTTGTCATCTTTGTGGATTCATGGGAATTTCCCTAGTGCCAGATTTCTCATTTACTCCATAATGGTAATGGCTCCCTCTATCAAGGTATCTCTTTCCTTGCTCTCTCTCTCTCTCTCTCTCTCTCTCTCTCTCCTCTCTCTCTCTCTCTCTCTCTCTCTCTCTCTCTCTCTCTCTCTCTCTCTCTGCTTTCCCCCAACTTTACCTTCCCGATCCCTCATGTTCTCCTCCCACTCCCCTCCTCCTTTCTCTCTACCTCCCTCCCACTATGTTCCCAATTTACTCAGGAGATCTTGTCCATTTCCCCTTCGGTGTGTGTGTGGTTCCGTATATGTCCCTCTTAGGGGCCTCCTTGTTTCCTGTCTTCTCTGGGGTGTGGATTGGAGGCTGTTTATCTTTGCTTTATGTCTAATAGCCACTTATGAGTGAGTATATACCATATTTTTCTTTCTGTGTCTGGGTTACCTCACTCAGGATGGTTTCTCTTAGTTGCATCCATTTGCCTTTGAATTTAAAGATGTCATTGTTTTTTTTTTTTTAAACTGCTGAGTAGTACTCCATTGTGTAATGTACCAAATTTCTTTATCCATCCTTTGGTTGTTGGGCATCTAGATCACTTCCAGGTTCTGGCTTTTATAAATAATGCTGCTATGAGCATAAGTGAACAGATGTCCTGGTGGTATATGATTGTTTATCCTTTGGATATATGCCCAAGAGTGGTATTGCTGGGT